TCTGCTTCTCCCTCTGACCCTCCTCCCTCTCATGCTCTCTGTCTCTCATTCTCTCTCTTGCAAATAAATAAAATCTTAAAAAAAAAAAAAATTCATCTTTAAAAAAAAAACTAAGGGCTTGGAATATTTGGTCTTCAAGAGGATGTTACTGTAAGGAGTATTCAGGTTGCGTTGAGATACACTGGTGATCTTGTATCAGGGAGTTGGCCAGTGGAATCTTTCCTCCTGGCTGATTAGATTTCAAGAACTCACTGTCCCCACTTTGGTTTTGGTTGTACATAAGCCTATTGGGAGAATGGGATGTTCTAGGTAAGAAAACAGTAAGATTGATAGAGCTATCATTGAGCCCAAATATAGATTACCAAATTTTAAATAATCGTTATATAATATAGACTAATGCCAAAATAATACCAGGCATTATATGACCTTTCTTTGATTTGGAAGATCTTTCAGAACCTTGCAGGTGTCAGAGGCATCATCTTGAGTATAAGTCATGATTATTCAGAGGTTCCGATGTAGCAGATAATAGAAATATCTAACAGTGCTGCCCAGAAGGGACTTCCAAATAGATCGATCCCAGGCAGAACTCCCTGCAGCGCCATGTCAAAAAGCTCCATCTTCAGTGGTGGGACTTGCATCTTAAATTCTCAACATTATCAATACCTGGTTACCTCTTTTGACATCTCATCCATTTCTAGACCACAAGCCCTTGCTATGTTATTGCAGCTATCAACTGAAATGTTTGACCTCCACTTCCTTCTCTTCTCTTTAATCTGCTTTTGGCTTAGTGGCTGAGAGTCGCACCTGCCCAGAGACCCTCAGTGCAGACTTGCAGCTCTGCGTGTGCGGGCGGTGTTGCAAGGAAGGTCATTGCTGGACTCTCTTCCCATTCGGAAGAGAATTTTCAAGCTGGAGCAATGCTGCCAATACGGCTTACTTCTCTCTCCACAGACTGAGAAGTCCAGCCTCGGAAGTTACTTGCCACTTGAGCAAGGAGCTTGCCAGGAAATAAATCATGGTTCACATTATTGAATAGACTTTCAGAACCTGTCAGATGTATGGGTAGATTGCTGAGAACACTGGCAATATTTTTACTCCTACAGACTTTGCTCTTCTGACTTCAGGTAAAAGGTAACTTGTCTTTAGTTTGTCCAGGGGATTGTGACTTGAAAACTTGCTGACCAGCTCTTTTGATAGTGTACACAATGTTTGAAATATTTCTTAGAGGAGATACATGTTCCTCATTTCTTAATGCATCGCAGACCAATTTAACTGACATGTTTCAGGAAGATTCGTTCTAGTATAGTAAGTAAGCTAAAAGTTTTGTTTTTTATATTTAACGCTTAACCTCTCTCTCATGTTGTTTAAAATTAGACTGCAGACAATTTCCCTCACTTCTGTAGGCTCTTGCGAGATAAACGTACAAATAGTGAAACAAATAAAAACAAAACAAACAAAAAATAAACAATAAATCTTTTTAAAAAAAGAAGAAAATGTGGTCCATATATACAATGGAATATTACTCAGCCATCAGAAAGGATGAATACCCAACTTTTACATCAACATGGAAGGGACTAGAGGAGATTATGCTAAGTGAAATAAGTCAAGCAGAGAAAGTCAATTATCATATAGTTTCACTTATTTGTGGAACATAAGAAATAGCATGGAGGACATTAGGAGAAGGAAGGGAAAAATGAAGCAGGGGAAAATCAGAGGGATAGATGAACCATGAGAGTCTATGAACTCTGAGAAACAAACTGAGTGTTGTAGAGGGGAGGGGGTGGGAGGATGGGTTAGCCCGGTGATGGGTATTAAGGAGGGCATGCACTGCATGGAGCACTGGGTGTTATATGCAAACAATGAATCATGGAACACTACATCAATAACTAGTGATGTAATGTATTGTGACTAACATAACATAATAAAGGGGCACCTGGGTGGCTCAGATGGTTAAGCGTCTGCCTTTGGCTCAGGTCATGATGTCCAGGTCCTGAGATCGAGCCCCACATCGGGCTCCCTGCTCAGCAGGGAGTCTGCTTCTCCTTCTTCCTCTGCCCCTCCCCACTGCTCCTGCTCTCTCTCTCGCTCTGTATCTCTCTGTCTCAAATGAATAAATTTAAAAAAATTCTTTAAAAATAAAAAGAAAACAACATAATAAAATAAAATTTAAAAAAATAAAGTGTGATAACTTTAGACCTAATATCTGGTCAACTTTTGTAAATATTTAAAGTTTACTTGAAGAGAATAGGGATAATTTAATTGTTGATTATAGTTCTATATCATCTATAGAGCCTTACTAAGTTTAAGTCCATGTAGTCAATTACTAAAAATGATGTGTTAAAATTTCTGTGTATTTGTGTATTTATCAATTACTCTGTGTAATTCCATTAATTTTGGCCTTATTTATTTTGAAGATATATTATTAGGGATCTACAATTTTAGTATTGGTATATCTTCCTCGTGAATTTTTACTTCTATCATCTAGTGAAAGGGGGTGAGTTTGAGCATTTCAAGGCTGATCGCAGGAGGAAAATATGGCCATGAGGTGGCAGCAGCATACACAAGCTTTATTTGGGTGGTATTTTGAAGGTTTGCCTGCTGGGGTAGGGCCCCGATACCATCAGACCATCCAGAGGCGTAAGATAGGAGGCCGTCGTTCAGAAGGGGAGGAGGGCAAGGGACCTCCTGGAGGCGAAAGGATGCAGAAAGAGGGCTTATGTGTCTAGGTGGCTTTGTATGATGTCACTCAGCAGCATGGCGGGGAGTCTCTGGGTCAGAATTCTGAAGAGCTGCAGCAGGTTAGGGTCTTTATAACCCAATCGGCAAGCCGATTTTAGGCACAGTTTCATAGGGTATATACAGCAGCCAAGCTCTAAATAGCTAAAACTCTGATTAAGCTATGTTTAAAACAAATGGATGTGTAAAATTTTGATATGGTGCCAGTGGGCTTTTGAGCTAATAAACAACCCAGGGGCCAATACACAGAGGCCTCATTTGCCTCATTCACAGGGTAACACGTAGTGATTCTCTTTATCACTTTTTTTTTGCTCTCTATTGTTTATTATATTTTACTCGTTTTTTGGGTTTATTTTTATTGGCATGATTTCAGTAAACAGTTTATTGTAGTCTGCTATCTTACCACTTATTTATTATTAAAACTGCTGTAATAGGAATTTTACCTCATTCTTTGTCCCACTTAACTAAAACTGCTCTGGGTAAGGTCATGACCTTCATGTTATCAATACCAGTTAATGGTTTACATTTTCTTACAGTGTATACACACGTTTAGGTAATTCAAAATGGGATATCATACATGGAATTTAGTACTTTTTTCTCTTTTTTGCTTACTCTCTCCTCTTTCTCCCACTCAAATTCCCATCTTTACCTCACCCACCCTCTCCAGACAAATAATGTCATCCTCATTAGATTTCATCCCTATTTTTCTCCACACTCATAAAATCATATACCAACATATATGCATATACACAAGACCCAAACATACATACAAGTGTGTATATATATACACACAGAAATTTATTATCATATAAAGGGGTTTGGGGATTAAACATGCCATACTTCATTTTGCTTTTTTCAGTACTGCATAGAAATGCTGAGTCGATTAATATAGTTCTAATTTGGATTTTCCACTAAGATCAACGTTGACATAAAAAACATATATAGGGACGCCTGAGTGGCTCAGTCAGTTAAGCGCCTGCCTTCAGCTTAGATCATAATCCCAGGGTCCTGGGATCGAGCCTACTTCTCCTTCTCCCTCTGCCTGCCAGTCCCCCTGCTTGTACTCTCAATCTCTCTGACAAATAAATCTTAAAAAAAAAAAAATATATATATATATATATATACCCATACATACTGATTTTATTTCTGTAAGATTTCTGTGACGTATATTTTTTCTAAAGTGTTACCAAGTTATTTTCCAAAAAATCTGTAACGATCCATATTTCTTATCAAGGGTACTTGCTCCCCTACTCCAAAATCCTCACCAACAATAGGTATTGTTCTCTTGATATGTGACCATCTAATGGGGTATAAAATGACAATCCTCTAATGCTTTATTTGCATTTCCTTGATTACTAGTGAGCTTGAGCATAATTTTATACATTTGGTCATTTGGATTTACTTTTCTATGGTTATGTCTTTATGTACCCACATTTTTGTGTTGTGTTTTCCTGTAAGTGCTCATTTTATAGTATATATTATCACTATATCTTATATTATACATGTTAGTATAGTATAGATGTTAACTCTTTGTAACCCACATTGCAATTTCCTCCATATTTATATTAATATTTAACTCTACCCTTTATCACAAAAATTGTTAATTTTTGCTACATAGGTTTTCCCTGTCATTAGTCTATTTTCTCTCCCTCTCCCCCAGCTCCCACTCTCTACCTTTAAAATGATTTTAAACATCATTTTATATGTCACATCAAAGCCTTTAGTGTAAATTGGGAATCCAATTTTGTTTTCTTTGAACTGAAACATATTTGTCATATATTGAAAGTTCATATATATCTGGAGTCTCAATTCTTTTCTATCAATCTTGTTTATTCTTATTTAATGCAATTGCTTTTCTTATATTAACTGACTTGAGGGGCGCCTGCATGGCTCAGTTGTTAAGCGTCTGCCTTCGACTCGGGTCGTGATCCCAGGGTCCTGGGATTGAGCCCCGTATCAGGCTCCCTGCTCAGCGGGAAGCCTGCTTCTTCCTCTCCCACTTCCCCTGCTTGTGTTCCCTCTCTCACCCTGTCAAATAAAAAAAAAAAAAAAAAAAAAAAAACCTAACTTGATTCTGATGGGTTTATAGTATATGCTGATATCTGGTGAGTAAAGTTCCTCTCAATAGTCTTTTTTTTGGGCTAGAATTTTCTGACTATTCTTCTGTATGAACGTTAATTTAATCCAATTTTTAAATAATCTTGGGATTCTAATGTGAATTTAATTAGATTTATATATTAATTTTATTTTTTATCTTTTTTTAGGTAGGCTCCATGCATAGTGTGGAGCCCAACGTGGAACCTGAGCTCACAACCCTGAGATCAAGACCCGAGCTGAGATCAAGAGTTGGACACTTAACTGACCCACCCAGGTGCCCATATATTATTTTAAAAGATTTATATTTTTACACTAGCAAGTTTTTTTTTTTCATGTGTTTAAATGTCATTCAATTTCTTTTAATAACATTTTCATAGGTTCCCCCCTCCATGGTCTTTTACCTTTCTTGGTAAGTTTCGCTATTGTGAATTAAATATTTTTCCGAGTAGCATTTCAGGGTGCTTATTGCTACTAAATTTTGTAGATTCATCTTGTTTCCAAATACCTTACAAAATCTCTCTTTAGTTCTGTTTTTCCTAGTCTCTGTGGTTTCCTAGGTATATAATTACATCAACAGAGTTTTCTATTTTCCTATATTTATACTGATTATTTCACGTTTTAATCTTGTCACATTCACTGGATCATCCAAGAAAATTTTTAATATCATATAATGACAGTAAGCATTCATTCCTGCTAGTTCCTGATTTTAAATGGAAGAATTTGATTTTAAATACTTGTAGGCTGGGGCGCCTGGGTGGCTCAGATGGTTAAGCGTCTGCCTTCGGCTCAGGTCATGATCCCAGGGTCCTGGGATCGAGTCCCGCATCGGGTTCCCTGCTCCTTGGGAGCCTGCTTCTCCCTCTGCCTTTCTCTCTCGCTCTGTCTCTCATGAATTAAAAAAAAAAAAAAAAAAAATACTTGTAGGCTTTTCATAAATAACCTTCATTGTGTTTAAATAGTTTCCTTCAACTTCTATTTTACTGAAGAATCCTGATTAGGTATGGCTATTGAATCTTAGCAATAGTTCTTTCAGCATCTATCGGTATGATCACGTTTTCTTAATTCATTTATATAATTGATTGTGTTAATAGATTTACTGATCAAAATACTCAATTCCTGGAGTACAGTTCTCTTTGCCATGGTATATTAACCTTTTTTTTCTTAACTGTTGTTTTTAGAATTTTCATTGATATGTATAAGTGAGGTTGCTCTGAGTTTATGTTTATCAGCTTTTCATATTCATGTTATGTAACGATATCAAATGAGTTGGGAAGTTTTTCCTATATAAAAAATTGGGGATAATTTAAATAACATTGGAATTATTTTTCTTGCAATCTTAGTACTTTTTATTTTTTAAGATTTATTTGAGAGAGAGAGAGAGAGAGAGTACGCGTGCATGGGGGGGGGGAGGGTAGAGGGAGAGGGAGAAAGAATCACAAGCAGACTCTGCGCCGAGCACAGAGCCCCTGAGATCAGGACCTGAGCAGAAACCAAGAGTAGGACACTTAACAGACTGTGCCACTCTGGCACCCCAAGTACTTTTTAAATTATGGATTTAAAAACTCACTTTAAAAAAACTCACTTTTATGTTCTCATTTGATAATCAATCTAACATTTTAAATTTCATCTTGGGTCACTTTCCAACATTTATGTTTTTCTAGGAAATTATTCATTTCCTCTAGGTTTTCCAATGTGTTACTTATACAGTTGTATGCAGCATTTTAAAATGAACATCGTTCATCATCTTATTTCACTTCTTGGCAGAATTCAACATAGTTGAAGACTGTACTTCTAAGTTGTGAGTTTCTTAAATTTGTTGAATGGGTGTTATGGATTCCTATCTTCATTGTGATAAGGCAGAGGAATATATGATGGATACTAATGGAAAATTACAGGAAATTTGAAAATTTAGTGAATTATTTCTTGACATTTTTTATTTTCTCACTAGTACAGGGTTCACCTCTGTAATTATGCAATTTACTACCCTTTTCCCCTTTTCTACATATTGGAAAATTTCAGCCTTATAAGAGAGATCAGGAATTTAACACTGTGGCTGATCTATTTGACAACAGTAAATATTGAATTTGACAAGAGAGAACACAGTCACAGATATACTCTTTTTATAAGCAAAGAATCAAATATTTAAACCAAAGGACAATTAGTGGGTGATGTCATCTCTGAGTAACAACATAAGTATGCCTCTTGCATACAGATTTTCAATGTCCTTCAAGACCGTAACTAATATAAAATGTCATAATACCATCGCTAATAATATGGACTACTTCTTATATTAAAATAATGCTTGCTATAACATGACTCCACTAAACTGGATTTCTGCAAAAGATAGAAGTATTCACTATCTGAACATGATAAAATAAAGTGAGCTTCCAAGAAAAGACTATCCTGACAAACTAAAACACAGCTTCAGATGATGCATAGCCAAAACAAAACAAAACAAAACAAGCTACGGAAGTTCTTTGCAGTCCAACCTCTGGTGCAAAGGGACTCCATGGCCAGCAAGACAGGCAGTCACGAAACTGCAGCTGAGTGCTTTTCAAACAAGCATATTTTATCCTCCCAAAGGTGGAGGTCCTCTAACATGATTTGTGTGGTTTAAATCACTGTTCCTTTAGTTTTCCTCATACTTTAAACAAATTATGTAGTGAATTACCATCATTAAACTTGAAAAACATTTCAATTAAATGGAAGAACTTCCTATGATAACCCTCCAACTATCCAAGAATGAGTCAAGAATGAGTCAAAGATTTCCTGCATAAATTTTCTGCCTGGATAGTGCTAAACTTTTCACTATTTGAAGTGGAAACTGGTATCACCAAATGCCACACATATCCTGCCTTCTTAAACACCATATACTACCTATCTTGATTCAAATTCATCATGAAACATCACTTGTATAATCTGATCACAGAGATGCTCTCAGGGTCTATGGTGTGCAGGATCCTATGTTAAATTCTCAAGCTGCTATGCTTTTAAAGTTCACATTAAATTTATTGTTTGGTTCCCTCCCCTGCTATCAGTTATTGCATTTTATTGTTTACCTGCCACTAGCAAGACCCTGTCCATTCTTTTGATTTTTTTTTTTAGGAGAAATCAGATAACCAAATTTATCAGAATTAGTTGTGAAGTAAGAATAAGCAGAATCTGAAGATGGGGATCTGAGGCACTCAATTCTTAGATGTTTCTGGTAGTTAATAAAATACCAACTGTAATTTAAGAACCCTATTGAACAGTAGAGTTTTAAAACTCTCTTTGCAGAGGGAGAGTCTGACAGCATGTTTCTACTGGAAAACTATAGGAATCACAATAAGGAAGGTAGAACTCTTTGGATCAGCAACTGGCTTAAGTAGCTTCCCATAAACTTATTAACAAACTAGGTTACAAAATACAAAAGCAATTCAATGAATCATCATATGAGGCATTGAATTCAAAGTTGAATTGTAAGGTGTTTTCATAATACAACTTGCTTAATTACCCATATGAATGAGTCATTAATACCTCAAGCCTGCTCAACAGTTTTGGATACTTGATATTTTTGTAATGGTAGTGCTCATTTGCTGAGTAAGGCCAGCTCATTTGCTGAGCAGTTCCCTGGGTAAGGAGAAGCAGGCTTCAAAACAATCACGTGACAGTGACAGAGTTGTTTCTTAAAGGTTCTAGAAACCCAAGATAAGTATTTCAAGAGCTGTTATCTTCTGTTGTAACAATTCAGAAGCAGTTACTAGATACCCATTTTTTAAAGCAGACACGACAGAATTCTGTGATTTTACAAGAGGAAGTGACAGCAACTGATAATAATGCTTATGTAAAGGGAGTCATTAAAATAACAGCTTGCTAGCAGCCCGAGGCTTCTGAAAAATCTGCACAGGTAGGAAAATATTTGGACACAGCTCTTTAACATATTTTAAAAATTGAAAATGTGGGCAGCAAAAACTATCCTGAGAGTATAGCCCTTATACTTTTGGGTGCTAAAGTTACCTTTTATGAGATAATTAATTTTCAATTCTTCATATATGTTTAGTTGACAAAATTTAAAGTTGATAATTTCATTTTAGTCTCCACATTTTTAGGAAATTTTACCTTCTCCTGTGAAATCTAAGTCTGGGAACCACTAGAATATACATGTTGTTGTGCTGCAGTAAATTAATTTTAAAGAAAAGCATTTCATGACCACAGACCATGGAGATTCAAACTTTTGGTAAGGATGATTTTTCCCAAAGCCTTGTGATCACTAATGGAAAAATAATTGCTTCATCTGACAGTGAAGCCCCTTAAAAGTGTCAAAGAGAAGGCTGTAAGAAAGAACATCCAGAGCCATGGTGACAGCAGTGGTACATTTCTCCCTCTTCACACATGAGGAAATATTAACTATTTTGTACATACACCTTGTAAAACTTCTCAAAATCACAATTACATTTCTAACTCTAACTTTAAAATTCCTGTTGTTGGTCACAAGAGTCAAGATCAAAGATCACACAATAGAACCTATTGACATTACATGTAATAAATTACAAATCTAGGTACAGGACTTAGTTCAGGGTCTCATGTATACACGTGCTTTTAGCTTTGATTATTGGGAGAATTAAATATGTCTGCCTCCTGTATCTTCTTTCTATATAAAAAAGACACAGTAAACTGACAGGATTGTACCTTTCATAGACAGACTTAAGGACAGCTATTAATGTAAGAACTATAATATACAATTAAACTAAATAGACTTAGGCTAAAAAATTATAAAAGTTTTAAAGATTCTCCAGTAAGTTTATTTTGCAACCTTTTTGTATTTTATGTTTTATTGGCTTACAATGTTACAAAGAGGAAAACGTATACGGTTTTGAACACTGATTTATCATTTTAATAAGAATTCAGATATACTTTATGTTTATTTCTAATTAACCTTCAAATTGCAGCAGCTCAGGAGTTTAGTATAAGTATTCTTGCCACCTCATCCCACCTTGTCACTGAGTCAAAGAGTTCAAGATACTTTTACAAAACACACACCTAAACAAACACAAACAAGCCTTTTGTAAAGTAAACAAAATTTTTATAATGTAAATAACTGTTCCTTTTTGGAACTTTCTATATCCAGTTCATGTTTTTTCTGAAATTGGGATATTCACACTTATTAGACACAGTCTTTATAAAGCAAAGCATTTATCTTTCTAAAAACTCAAGTAATTCTTGAGAGCAATATTTTTCTTATTGATCTGAAAAGAAAGGAGTGTGGACAGCCAAGAGGAAAAATCACTTCAAATG